GGGAGGAGGCGGCCCCGGCCTGGGGCTGCCTCGGCCGCGCGCCCCCCAGCCCCGCGCCGCGCTCACGCCTCTCTCCCCTGCTGCAGGTCTGGGCCAGGCTCCCCGGGAGTCCCACCTGGCCACCGGCACCAGCGGGCACCCGAGGACCAAGAGATGCTCCTGCAACAGCTGGCTGGACACGGAGTGCATCTACTTCTGTCACCTGGATATCATCTGGGTCAACACCCCCGGGTGAGCACGTGCACCGCGGCGGTGTGGGGAAGCCATAGGGCGGGCGCCTCTCCCCCGAAGTCGAGGCGAGCAAGAGGGTGCCTTGCTCCTAGGGCAGAAAGCTGCCTGGTGTCCCCGGTTAGAAGTGCGAGTCCCTTGGCGGTGCCAGAAGAGAGCAGCTCCAGCAGCACCTTGTTTCTGCAGAGGAAGCAGTCAAACAGCTGGGACGCCGTCCCGTTGACTGGCTGTGTTTCTCGCCCAGCAGTCGTTCTGCTGCAACTTCAAATCGGTAGTTTAAAAACCAGAAAACAAAAGTGCCTACTCCAACTTGCTGCAGGCTCCCCATCTTGCACCTGTTGCTCCAAACGCTCCTTCTAAAGCGCCAGTGTCTTTGGAGCTGTGCTGAATTGGAACCGAGGTCTTTTCATTGGGGAGCTCTCACTTCAAAAATTAAAGCCAAACTCAATGTAACATTCAGCCGTCTCTTTATAGCCAGCCAAACAGGCACGCTTACTCAGGTGTGGCTATAATTATGCTGGCTAATGTGCAATCATTAATAACTGCTTGCTCTGAGAAGAGCTGGCAGTCTCTGCCATGCCCACATGCTCTCCAGGAGGAGCTTTGAGGGGGGATTGGGATTTAAAGATGGGGAAGGGAATGTATGCACATTCAAACTGATATCGAAGCGTACTGGGATCAGAAGAGCCTGTTGTGGCCCCAAAGTGTTTCCTAAGCATATAAAACTATGCTGGGAAAAGGAAAGTCCTTTGTTTTCAGGCTCTTGCTGCTTGAGGAAATGCCACCAGAAACTTAGTTCCTATAACATTGCCAAGTAACATGTCCATAGGTTCCTAGGTTATAGTACTGAGCCTGCAGCCTAGTATGTGCCAGTTTGTTTTGGACCATGCTATGCTACAAAATCTGTCGAAGGGTGAGCTGGAGAATAGTAGCAGGTGGGGGAGAGAAGCTGAATTTAAAAGGCTTTAGACATACCATTGGCTTTTTCACCTTGTGTCTATAGATGGATTTTTATTGTTGTAGTGCTGCCTTGGCTGCTTCCCAAGACTGCATTATAAACCTATTTGCTAATAAAATGTACTTGCTTATTTGATTTCTTTTGTTTTTAACAGACACACCGCTCCCTACGGCTTGGGAAGCGCGCCAAGGCGTCGCAAGAGATCGCTGAACAGGTGTGAATGCCTGCACTCCAAGGACAGCATCTGCACTACTTTCTGCCAGGCAAAGCCTTGGTAAGCCTAGCGGGTCTCTAGGACACTTTGGGACCGGTGGCATCCCCTTGCAGCCCACTACCAGTCAAGGGGCAGCCTGAGATACAGGGCTTAGAATAAGGTCCCCATGTGGGCTCCCTGATGGCCGCCGTATAACCAGCTGGAACTCGTCTAGTGGCTTTTTCACCCTTTCCACAAAGCGCTGGCAAAGTGTCACAAGCACAGTCTCATTTAACAGTCTTCTTGCTGGCTGCTGTGAAACAATGTTACCTCTGTCCCCTGTGGTGCCAGCCCTAGTGAAGAAGTACTGTCTTGTGTAGTGATGGGGGTAGTAGCTAGTACCAGTTGGCAGAACGGCCCTCTCTTGAAGAGGCACCTTCCTTCCTTCCCCCTCCTTACAGAGCTATCCAAGAGGTTGACAGGCCAAAAATACTATTTAATTTTTTGCTGGCAGATCCAGTGGTTGGTTATTCTGGTGGCTAGGGGAAACATTCACAGTCCTTTCAGCTGCCTTGGTATGAAGCTTGCTTTGCGATAACAGAAAAAGGCACTTTTTAAAGAGACCTCAGCACTGCTAGGAGCCAGGGTTTCAAAACCCAAGAGCTTTCTGCTGGTTTTCAAGTACCCTACCCGACCTAAATACTATCTAGTGTATAATGGGTAACTGGTAGGCTAAATTAGGACAGTGTTGTAAAAATGTGCTTAAATTACAGTGAGTGGAAAGCAGAATGTTTATAGCAAATTAACAATAGTGGGCTTCCACTATTCTCCCCCCCCCCCCCCCCCCCCCCCCC